GAAAGGTTGCAGAGGTTTCATCCTGCTTCCCAGGAGCAGTCTTGCACTTTTCAGTCAGGACAAGAGATGTGCCTGCAGTCCCTGCCTAACCAAACGAGACACCAAGGCTCCCCTGCAACCACTAAAATCAGCCCTTCCCTGCCCATGGCTGCATGACACAGCCCCAGGCCTGGCTGAGAAAGCAGATGACTCATTAAAAAATGAAGGAAAAAGTAAAGTTACCTTCAGAGAAGCTTCTGTCTCCACCAGCCTCCCACAGCGAGTGCCAGCAGGTTCCAGCCCTCTCCTTGCCCTGGCTCAGTGATGTCTCCTCCCTCCCAGGAGAGGAGCTGGCCCAGGGGCAGGGCTCTCCCCAGGCACCAGGCAACCTCTGCCCAGACAGATCCTTGCCTTGGGAATACACAAATCCTGGATTGCCCCGTTAAGCCAGGGCGGTGACTCAGCTGCCCAGGGTGGGATCATGAGACACCAGGTGGCTTTGCCCACCTTGGGCGCACGGGGCCAGGGAAAGCTTCCATGGGCTGCAGCAGCTGTTGGGAACCAAAGAATCCAGCCCCTTCCATCCAGTCTGGATCTGAACAGACTCCAGGCTGGCAGTGCCTGCGGGTGGGAGGCAATGGGAGGGATGGATTTGCACAGGACAAGACAGGAGAAACAGTCCAGCTCCTCCACCACTCCCTGCTACACCTCGGGGGGGTCTGTCCCCACAAGCAGAGGCTGTGGCAGTGAGGACAGAGGCTTTCACACCATGTGTGACATCCAGCCAAGCTGTGGCCATGGCTGGGAGCAGCAGAGGATCTGCAGGGGAAGGCAGGGACTTACCACACTTGCTGTTTTATTTCAATTCTCAGTGTTTATTTAGTACTTGCAAAATATATCATTAAAAAGGCTTAGCATGTGGACTTTCAACCAGGCATGAAGAAATCCCACCTATTGCACAGTAAATGTTATTTTCTACTCTCTAGTGAGTCATTGCATTTAATAATTATTTTAATTCAGCTCATTTGAACATTAATATTTCTAAGGTCCTTTCACCTTAAATTTCTCCAGCATCCTCCCCCCAAGCTAGAACAAGTCCCCCATATTATCTCCCAGTGCAAGATTATAGCAGACCCAGAAGCTGGAACACAAAGGAGTACCCACTCTGCCAGGAATTTGTTTTTCCTTGGAGGAATCTGACCAGGAACAGGCTTGTACTGGTTTTGGCTGGGATTAAGTTAACTTTCATCATAGTTGCCAAGTTTCTCCATAGCAGGATGGTGCCATGTTTTGGATTTGTGACCAAAGCAGTGCTGGTAACACCCCCATGTCTCAGTTGTTGCTTAACTGTCCTTGCACAGAGCCCCACCTGTGGCTGGGCTGGGTCAGCCAGAAGCAAGGAAGGGACATGGCTGGGAGAGCTGACCCCAACTGCCCAAAGGGATATTCCAGGCAGTATGACATTGTGCTCAGTGCTAAAAGCTGGAGGGGTAAAGAAGAGGAAGGGTGGGGGACACTGGGAATTATGGCATCTGTCTTCCCAGGTTGCTGTTTGGGGTGATGAAGCCCTGCTTTCCTGGGGATGGCAGAACATCTGCCTGCTGAGGGGAAGTTCAGAATGAACTCCTTCATTTGCCCACCTGCCCACCCAGGTTTTGCTTTGCCTATTAAACCTTATCTCAACCTACAAGTTTTCTGACCTTCTCCCTTCTGATTTTCCTCCCCATCCCAGTGGGGGTGTGAGCAAGTGGCTGGGTAGGGCTTGGTACATCTGGGCTAACCCACAGCCGGTTATTTTGTGATTCCCACTTCTCTAAACAGACCTGGATTATTTTATTTGTATGAGCATAAGATACCCTTATCATCAAATACAGGCAGTGCAGGTCTCCTCTTTATCATTTTCTAACTGCCAAATAATTGTTGCAGGCACACAGTGAAACCCAGAGCCCCAGAAAGGGATGCATCTCCTGACCAGCTCTGGACAATTCTTTTCATAGGGATCCATGAATATTTCACCTCAATTAAACAGCAAGTGGGAATCTCACTAAGTTTAACTATTGCTAAGATGCACCAACCAGTACAGCCTGTCTCAGACTTGTCACAAGAGGGTGGCTGTTGGGAGCACAACAGAAGAGAGACTGTCCCAAAAACTGCAGGGGAAACACTGTCAAGCCAATTGCAGCTGAAACTTCTGCTCGTGTGGGTCGCTGAAGGAAAGCAAGTGGTTTGGTGCAAGGCACAGTGTGCAGGTCCCTGGGAGCAGCTCTCTGCATGGCATGGGGTGGAGGCAGGGCCTGGTATTTCTTGCTCTGCAGTCCTCCTTTGAGAGCTTGTACCCACTGGTCCCTCTGCTTCAGCATGGCTTTTAGTAGACAGGAGTCTGAGCCTCCTCTGTTAGTGCCTCTCTAAGGCTACTCTGTGCTCCACAGCTCATGGAAATAACCCAGCAAAAAGGAAAAGAAATGACTTCTCAGCTTAAGGAAACCGTTGCAAAGCAAGAGCTCAGCTTGCATGTGGTGCCTTCTCCTCTGGTCAGTTGTAAACCATCTGTGAAAGCAAAACACACCAATGTCCTGTGAGGGATCTGCTGACACAAACCCAGCTCCCCCTCCAGAGCAGCCTGAAGCAAAGCCCCTTCACTCAGGGTGACTTTCCCAGGCTTGCCTGCACACTGAGCTCTGAGCACTGCCAGGGAAAGCATCACTCTCTGGCTCCAGGAGGAACCTTCTCCAAGCCCCACACTCACTATTTTAACAAAGCTTTGCCCGATCTCAAACCAGGTCTGCAGAGAGGAGAAGAAAAAGGCTCCTACCTCACCATGACAGCCACAGCAGAGCTCTGAAACCTGCTCCTCCTTACCACACACTGCGCCAGCCCAGCCTCTGAACAGCCAGCACAATCAAGAGGGCTTTTCTCTTCAGCACAGACTGGTGATTCTGAGAAAACCCAAATGATTTCAAGATGCCATGAGTTCCCTGTCTCTACTGAGAAAAGCATCCACCTGGACAGGGCCTATCTGCTGCTTCAAGGCCTGTGCGAGTTGTTGGCTCTTGCACCTCCTGCTGGACCCAACCGTGATGGCAGGTTGTCTCCCAGAGCTTGCTGTGCTCCTGCACATCTCGCAGCAGCAACAACACAGAACAACAGGCTGAAGGGCAGAGAGCTGACCCACCCTGCCATCTCCTGTCCCCTCCGTGGCTGTTCCCTAAAGCCTACTAAAGCCCCAGGACAGGGATGGGAAAGAGGCACAGCCCAGCTCTGCAAGGAGCAGCCAGCACTGCCTGGTCCACCAGCCACAGAGAACCACCAGCTCCAGGAACACCTGGAATTTTAGATCTTAATCCTCCACCCTCAGGAGGCATCTCAAGTCCTCTGGCCAGCACCAGCAAGCATCTGCCACTCACAGAGAGGGGAGGACATCCCACCCTTCTGCACCACTCAGGCAGAAACAAGGGAGGAAATGGAAATAACTGAGGTAAGGTCGGATGGGGGCTGCAACTGGGCGAGGAACAAGAGCCCACGACCTCCCTTCCTCAGGACCCCACGGCACAGAAGGGCGGCCGGCTGGGCTGTGGGGCAGCTCACAGCGCCGCTCAGGAGAGCCCAGGAACTGAAGCCACTCCCAAGACTTGTCCAAAATGTACCAAACTCTGCCTCTGGAGGGAGCCTCTGACAGCTGCCACCTACCAAGGCAGAGCGACAAATAGTACAGCAGCCTAGATCTCCCTGAGGACATTTCTATTCTAGGTAACACTGGCAAGAGCGAGAAGCAGATCTTGGTAATTTCTGGTAGGCCAGAGATCATAAGTCTCAAGAGAGAAGAAACAGGCTCTAAGAAAGGGCTGCAGGTGCAAAGAGTGACCTTGCAGGAGATCAGGTGAATCACACATGCACTCACCGAGATGGCAAAGACCCAAAGCTCACCTTTGCCACCACGGCTGCCACAATCCCCACCACGGCCAGGATGGCCAGTCCGATTTTGGCCTTGTTAAACCGTTTCAAGAGGAAGAACTTGGCCCAATCCACCTTCTTCTGGCTGCCAGGTGGGTACCGGAGTTTGTTTGAACCCTCCATCTTCAGGTCCTTGATCAAGCAGGAGCGGCGGTGGGAGAAGGTCTCAAAGCTGTGCTTGCCGTGGTAGGCGCCCATCCCGCTGTTACCTGAGGGACACAACCCACCCAGCTCACACCACAGCCTTGGCCAGTCAAACCTTTGGCCACTTGAGGCCACCAGCAGAGCAAGAAGCAGGACAGGATTTCAGTTGCTGGCCAGATGCAGTGCACGTTACCCACCCTGCACCGGCCTTGCTGCCCTTCAAAAACAACTCCTCCTCTATATTCCTGCAGAGAGGACAACTGATCCTCTCTACAGCACTTCCCAGTCTCTGAGATGTCCAACTGTACTCCATCCCTATTCTTCCCCA